GGGAGTTTGGTCCATATTGACATGATGGCATCACACAGTTGCCGCAGATTTGTCGGCTGCACATCCATGATGCGAATCTCCCGTTCCACCACATCCCAAAGATGCTCTATTGGGTTGAGATCTGGTGACTGTGGAGGCCATTTTAGTACAGTGAACTCATTGTCATGTTCAAGAAACCAATTTGAAATGATTAGAGCTTTGTGACATGGTGGAAGTAGCCATCAGAGGATGGGTACATGGTGGCCATAAAGGGATGGACATGGTCAGAAACAATGCTCAGGTAGGCCGTGGCATTTAAACGATGCCCAATTGGCACTAAGGGGCCTAAAGTGTGCCAGGAAAACATCCCCCACACCATTACACCACCACCACCAGCCTGCACAGTGGTAACAAGGCATGATGGTTCCATGTTCTCATTCTGTTTACGCCAAATTCTGACTCTAACATCTGAATGTCTCAACAGAAATCGAGACTCATCAGACCAGGCAACATTTTTCCAGTCTTCAACTGTTCAATTTTGGTGAGCTCTTGCAAATTGTAGCCTCTTTTTCCTATTTGTAGTGGAGATGAGTGGTACCCGGTGGAGTCTTCTGCTGTTGTAGCCCATCCGCCTCAAGGTTGTGCGTGTTGTGGCTTCACAAATGCTTTGCTGCATACCTCGGTTGTAACGAGTGGTTATTTCAGTCACTGTTGCCCTTCTATCAGCTCGAACCAGTCTGGCCATTCTCCTCTGACCTCTGGCATCAACAAGGCATTTCCGCCCACAGAACTGCCGCTCACTGGATGTTTTTTCTTTTTCGGACCATTCTCTGTAAACCCTAGAGATGGTTGTGCGTGAAAATCCCAGTAGATTAGCAGTTTCTGAAATACTCAGACCAGCCCTTCTGGCACCAACAATCATGCCACGTTCAAAGTCACTCAAATCACCTTTCTTCCCCATACTGATGCTCGGTTTGAACTGCAGGAGATTGTCTTGACCATGTCTACATGCCTAAATGCACTGAGTTGCCGCCATGTGATTGGCTGCTTAGAAATTAAGTGTTAACAAGCAGTTGGACAGGTGTACCTAATAAAGTGGCCGGTGAGTGTATATATATATATATATATAGCTTTTTCCTTTTTTTTTTTTTCTGTCACTCTACCTAAAATTAAGATAAGAACAGATTATTTCACAGCCAGAAAACAAAGCATAATATACAGTTCTGCTTGTAAACATCTGGATTACTTGGTACTTAGTACCCAAGTATAAAACCAAGTATATTTTGATGCCATTAACCTGGCAAACCTTGGCGAACTCATCGACTTGTTCTTCATAGTGCTCATAATACATTTTCCTTCATTTACTGTGATGCTGCTATGATTCATCTTCTGACGTGATCGTACAAAGTGTTTGCACGTGTTTAATGGGGACTAATCAAGCATGCTTGGGCAATGCAAAAAATAATACAAAACAAAGAATGAGACAGACTGAGAGATAAGGAGAAGGACAAACAGCCATACAGTGTAAAGTGACTGGTTTGAAAAATACAAGACAGGTCAAAGGTCATACAAAGGGGAATAAGAGTTGCTTTTGATCTTGGCTCTTTGAAGTGATCTTGCACAAATAGGGAGGCCAATGTGAATTAGCAATGTACTGCTATATGTAAATACTTGACTTTCTGCCAGACCAGAAGCTTATTTGGCAGTTATGTTGATGTCATAATGCAATCTTAACTTCAAATTTCTGTTTTGGTATATTGACTTCTGTATTAGCATAGTGTATTTGCAAAGTTTGGTGTTTGAATAGGTGTTTTGATCTCAAGCAAAGGATGTGTGTTTCTATGTGGGTTTTTTAGGTACTTCTGACCCAGAAGTTTTCTGAAGACACCCAAATGCAAGTCTCCAGAGTCTGACTATGAGTGTTTTGTGTGAAAATCTTGTATTACACTTAAGATTTAGCAGAACAACTAAATAACCTGTAAGCTAATCCAACAGGACCCTGGCTGTTTTCAAACTGACACTGAAACGCGGAAGGCACTAACCATCAAAATTCACAACCAAAAATGGAAGTCAACATCTATTTATCCTTTCATTGTAAAATGTTGAACTTGTTTCAAGCCACTAACTTGACAACTCCTATATGTCATCTTGTAGGCCAAGTCCAGGCCAATATCGGAGCAGAATGACTCACTGTGCCATATCAGTGTGTTTGCTTAGGAACCATTTCTGTTTAGTTTGTATTAGCTGTTTGCATGCTTGAAGTGCTCTACTCCTCTCTTGTGTATGTTGGCAACTTCGCCTTGAGCACAGGAGGTCATGTCTCTTAGAGAAGTCTGTCCAAGTGTCTCACTTCAGCAGCAGTCTTGATGGGCTACTTCTATCAAGATGTGGACATCCTTATAACCTCATCTAAATTCTTAAACAGGTATTCTACTTTGAAAGTAATAAAAAGTTCCTCTGGGGAAAATGTGGTTTGAACCACAGTTCTGGTTGTGTAAAAACTTGGGCATGGCATAAAAAAAAAAAAAAAAAATTTAACCAGATCCCTTAGATTAGAAGATCTTTGTAGTTAAGTAAATGCTATAATATTTTTAATTAAAATATTAAAAACTAAACTTTTAACATTCATCATTAAAAAATGTCTACACAAGATATATCTTTGATGCATAATACCATTCAAAAGTTTGGGGTCAGTATGATTCAGCTTTGCCATAAGAAGAACAAATTATATTTTAAATATATATTCAAATAGAAAGTGCACTGTAAAAAAAACTATTGTTGGTTTAACTTAAAAAAGTAAGTTACCTGGTTGCCTTAAAAAATTTGAGTTCCTTGAAATTAAAAAATTGAGTTAATGCAATGGAGATTGGTTTAATAAATAGTAACTAAAATAATGTTATCTGAACCACATTAATTATCAAAGTTGATTTGACAAAAGAAAAAAAGTTGCGATAAATTATGAAAATAATTGGTTATTTTAAATTGCAATATTTCAGACATTTTTACTGTATTTTGATCAAATAAATGCAGCCTAGGCGAGCATAAAATACTTTTTTCAAAAACATTAAAAAAACTTACCGACCCCAAAACTTTTGAACGTTTTATATCTTTGCTTTGCTGCTTGTATGTTTGATGTATAATGACACAGCATCCTGACCTTTGACCCATTTGGATGTGTCTAAATATTTGCTGTCAACAAATTCAGTATGGCTAACCCAAAGCTATCTAGCTAGATTACAGGGGAGAGGGGGGCTGGTTAGGAAAGAGGCACCCTGTGAATGTCTCTCTCTTTCTGGGAGGAAGCTAAAATAAGAGATGGAAAGGTGAAAGCCATGACCATGACCTGCATAAAGAAACACCTGACTCATTGAGAAGTGAGAAGACACAGAGAAGTGGCTCTCGTTTGAGACAAGAGTTTGATTCTGTGTCATGTACCCGCCCACTCCGCCTCCATCATTTGCAGTCGTGTTCTGACTCTTATCATTAAAAAAACAATAAATATAATACATGTGCAAAAACTTAATAAAAACAATACACCTTGCATTGACAAAGAAAGAGCTCATGATCATTGTAGGGGCACATTCTCTAAGTTGGAGGGTGGAGGCCACAGTCTAAAGCGGTGAGATCACCTTTCTCTGTTCAAACTTGACAGAGAACCTCACAGTGCTGTGAAGGGTGCTGATGTGAGCGGACATTGTGGACGACTGAAAGACTGACCCTTTCCCTAAGTCTCTGATTTGGACAGAGAACTAGACAACAGAAACATCCAGAAACAAGGAAAGAAAGGCAATATACCTGAACGTACATTAAGTGTAATATAAGTTCTTGCAAGATGCAGTCCTGCTGCTTTAATTCCAGCAGTCACTTTAATTCCTGGAAAGGAATTTGTGCCATTTTGTGTAAAGACGCGTGTCAACAGTATTGTTTGGTGAACTCTTTAAAATAAAATAACTTAAATTCGCAGAGCTCCAGTGAATTGTTAAGTGGAAAAATTAACACTTTTGATAGTGTTGATCGGACATCTAAAGATAAACTTGAATTTGTATAAATTACAAAGGAGGATAAATTTAAAGACAAATCTTTAAAAAATCAAGTTTAAAACGTATGTTGGTAATCTATCTACATTAAGTTTTCAACGGGAGGTTCATAGAAATGTAATGTTTGTATTCATTTACCTGAAAAAGTTCAAGTAACCATCACGTAAAAGTAGTCTACTTAAAGGGATAGTTCACCCAAAATGAAAAGTTTGTCATTACTCACCCTCAAGTTGTTCCAAACCTGTATGAGTTTTTGTTATTGTTTTTGTTAAACACAAAAGAAGATATTTTAAAGAATGTTGGTTACCAGACAGTTGTCGGTAGCCTAGCCATTAACTTCCATATTATTCCATATTATATTTTTCTTATGGAAGTCAGTTCAGTTCAGTTGGGTGGGTCAACTGTCTGGTTACCGACATCCTTCAAAATATCTTCTTTTGTGTTCAGCAGAAGAAAGAAACTCATACAGGTTTGGAACAACATGAGGGTGAGTAAATTATGATAACATTTTCATTTTTGGGTGAACTCCTTCAAAAACCTTCCTTGCATGAATCATGAATATAGGTTACTCCAATTGATTTGAAATAAAAAACTGTAAAAATAGTTCATCCTTTTCTATAAGACTTTCCCCCTTTTTATAACCAACAAATAGTTATAGCTACCACATTTATGATTTTAGCCTCACAAAAATTATTCAAATTAATTTTGATTTTTGCATGATTTGAATTTTCCCCTCAGTAATCTAAAGACAAAAAAAGAAGCTTGACGTCATTCACCCACACAATAATCTGCATAGATGTGCACGCAAATGTAGAGGCGTCCTTTTAACTCGCAGACCCCCCGCTCGAGTGTTTACCACATCATGTACACGGACACAAGTGCCAGGGATGTGGGAACGGAACCGAACCACAATAAAGTCGCTGCTGCGCTATTGTGCGCTCAGTGGAACGAATCAGTGGAAAGCCCTTTTGAATTCATGACAGACTCTTTGAATTGGCAAATAAAGATTTATTCAAATCCAAAGATTCATTAAGATCAAGTGCTGAACGCTTTCTCAACTTGACTTTCTCTGCTCCGCATCGTTGCAGAGCATGATGGTCCCTCCCCTATACGAAACTCTTTGTGAAAATCTTGTTGGGACTTTTTTTCCTCCCTTTCCCTTGAACGTCAAGTGTAATTCCTACCAAGGGTTTCGTCTCTGAGCTCTCCCTGTCTTGAAGGTGGAGCAGATATGAGAAGAAACGGACTATCAGCCAATCTAACCGAAAACCTCTGAGATGAAGTAACTTTTACACGCTTCCTGCTTAAAAAACAAGCATCTGTTTGCGGATTGAACATCTCCATCAATCGAATGATAGCAGGTATGACGGTTTATTTATTTATTTATTCATTCATTCATTCATTCATTCATTCATTCTCTTTAATTTTAAAATATGTATAACTTTTTGCATCATTCTAACCTGTGAAAATAATAAAGTGTCATCGTCGTGATCATTCTGAAGCATCATGAAGTGTATATGGATTGCAAAGGTTCTGTGAAAAATTGACTATAATAAAAAGTTTTTTTTTCATGAGAGTTTAGGAAGTTCAGAAAGTTCAGAATACTTTGAATACTTTGTATACATAGCCTATATTAAAAAGGTAAATACAATTATATAACGGTAAATCAGGAATGATAATTAATTACAGTTGGGTAGCCTACTTAATGATCCCTAATCTAACTAACCCTTGCAAAAAAAAAAAAAAAAAAAAAAAAAAAAAACAGTGGTCTCCTTTGGTGGAAGTGTTTACCAAATTGTTTATACAAGGGAGATGATTACCCCGCTGTTAACATTGTTGGTGTAAAATATTCATGAATCCATGAATGAGAGAAAGACATGCACTTAAAGATCCGTCAACTTTGAATGAATCAACCAGTTTTCAAACTTAATTTGAAAAGGGACCAATAGCGCCACCGTTTGTTTGATCAAGTCGGTTAAAAACGTTTACAAATGTGCAAGATTGAGATTTTTGGAAAATGGGTTGATGCTGACATGGACGGGAAATGTGCTGCTTTTTCCACTAAAGCCAGTTTTTAAAAATCCCACTAAGCATCTCTAGATACAGAGAAAATGTCATTGGAAATGTCATAGTGATATTTCAGCAGTGATGGAAGAATGTCAGATTGCAGTTGCTCAATTTTATCACAAAAAAACCCCCCAAAAAACAAAACTGTTGATAGAGATATCAGACCACGTGTCAGAACAGGTTTGCCTGAGTCTGTCGGTTTTGCCGACTTTATAAGGCCCGAGCTGTCTGCATAATTTACATCATAGACTTACTGGAATTTGTTTGGACCTCTGTAAGTGCTTCCCTTGCTTCCCTTCTTACGGCAATCTCCAGTAGGGACACATCTGATTTGTCATTGCCTGAATCCATAACTTTCCTACCACACATTCACGCGCACATATTTCCCCTCACACGTCCGCTGAGGCTACAACAGTATTGTCTGTACAGATTGATTCTCATAGACAGCACGGCTGATGCAGATAATCCACACCGACGCCATGTCATAGTGAAGTGTGAGGTGGGAGGAGAGGGATTCCAGCTCTGCAGGGGAAAATTTACTGAACCAAGAATGGAGAAGCAATCTATATTCCAACCCACACTCTCCATCCCTAACCTGGCTACTGATTATAAAATGTTGCTGCAGTCTGTGTTTTTCTTGGTCAGTGCTCAGCAATCTATTATATGATGAATGTGTGAGAGTGGTGGCTGTTAAATGCATGGCTTTGTGCTTTGCTGATTTTTTTTCTCTCTGTGAGTCATGCTGCACATACTCCACCTTTGCTTTGTAATGGTTATGCTGGTATAATTTTGAAACGTAGCAATGCTGATTGCTAACATATTGGTGAACTTCTATAACATACATCATCAAAAAAACAAAAACAATGATGGGTTGTTTCAAGCCAACTTTGGGTCAAATATGGACGAACCCAGCTGTTGGGTTACATTTTTTAATAAAATGACCCAACATTTGAGTTTGTCTATATTTGACCAAAAATTGGGTTAAAACAACCCAGCATTTTTTAGTGAATTGTTCACCCCCTAAGATTAATTGCTTGTGTTTTTTTCCTCTTCAGTTGCTTTGGTATCTGCTTAATAAATTAATGTAAATCGTGGCCTTCAGCGGTCTCATATTGCTGAATAGTCACTGTTGTCCATGGCAAGGCTGTATGAGTCTGCGTATCCGGAAACCGGCATTATTTTCAAGCCTCTCTTGTATTACACACTCATCTCGTATTGCGATCTCTTCAAATGAATGATACTGGCATATTGTGTCTTAGTTATTGACTGTAGTGAAACTGACCTTGTTGCAAAGCCATTTGTTTTGTACAGTGTAATGAAAACCCAATGGAAACCCAAATCGGTTTCTCACCTTTTTATTGATTTGGTTAGTATTAAGCTGGATAATGTAAAGTCAGCTGGTTATTATTGCACAATAACCACGTCACCTTGATCAGGACCTTTGCTGACGAAGATCCCTTACTTATCTTATTCTGCAAACGGGGGATCTCATTGACATGGAAAACCTGAAAATATCAGGATACTTGGATAAAATTGTGATTTACAGGCCTTAAAACATTATGGAAATGTATACAATAAATAAAAATTATGTTATTATCTTATCCTATGTTATTATTATATTCATCTATATAATGTTGTTTTGAAAATCATGGAAGTGCATTGTTCAAAAGCTTTGGGAACCTTAGTATCCATTTAAAATCACTGCTTTGTTCCTAATATTTATGTGCATGATTTATTTGGTACGCCATAATTCATATGACTTGCATGAGTCAAGAGTCAAGCAGCTTTTCATCACTGCAAAGTGATGGTGGAAAAATAAAATGCACTCAAATCTTAAACTTTATCAGTTAGAGATGTTACCAGATACATAAATGAATACAGAAGTAGGCTTCTGATCTGATAGCTTCCTTTGTGTATCTGTATGTGTGTGGGTGCACGTTTGTTTAGTTTATCATATATTATTTTATACTCCTATATTCATTGGTAACAGAACCAACTGCGGTACCATCCACAGAACCCAAGTATATACTTATTACTGACATTTAGCAAGACAGTTGGAAACGTTTCCAAACCACTGACTCAAAAAGCTCTGACCCACAGGGTCAATATTCTTACAGTCCCCACCACAAACCTCCAGTCTCCAGTTCTCCTCTAATGGCAGATATATTCTGTCAGCCGGGTGCCATTTAAGGAATAATTTTTAAATGTGAGCATACTTTTGCGCTATTTTACTCATTTGTTTAGTCTCTAAAGCTAATGCAGCAAAATTGGCATTCAATAATTACTGTATTTAAACTATTTCTTTCGTAATACATTTTTTTGTCTTAAAAGCAGATTCAAATTTTTTGTTTTGGAATCTGTGGGAATACTATTGTTGACTTAACCGGAACATTAGGATTGGATCTAAATATCTGTGGAATGTGATGATGGAGAATGAGGTGTACTGTATACACTCAACATACTCTCAGGAGTTTTGGAATAGTGCTTCAAAATCTTATTATTTGTCTCCCCCTAGTGGTCATGACTGTATTAATATAATCATCTGTTCCCATCAGTGCTTTCAAGTAGTGATGGGTCGTTCGCGAATGAGTCGGCTCTAAGAGCCGGCTCTTGTAGGTGAACGACGGGAGCTGACTCGCATATCTGAAGAGCCGACTCTATTTTTAAAAATATAGCCTATAGAAATAAAATCATTATGTAATAATGAAATAATGAATGAATTTTATTTAATTTAAAATGATTGACTAATTCAAAGAACAAAAAAAATATAGGCCTTTAGAAAGGCGCACACATTCGTTTCTGATCAGCCTCACATTCTGTTCCTGTCAATCATACACGAGGTGTCAACCAATTATACGGCATGAGGGAGGGGCCGAGCCATTGTGTGTGTGTGTGTGTGTGTGTGTTCATGCTAGTTATACAAAACATTACTAGTGAGATAGTTCATGCTGGTTATAACATGCCAATAAAGAAGAGAGAAAAAGAGGGACCAGTTTAATCCTTTCAGTTATTTATTTTTCTTTAATATGGGTTCTATTATGTTGTTCAGATTCAGATTGTATTTGTTTTGAATGTTGTTTCTATACATCAAAAAGTTGTAATTTAAATGCAAATGTTTAATAGTATTATTTTTTCATAAATCAATGCACTTTTAAAGACATTGTGAGTATGATTTCCTTTAATAATTTAATTAGAAATGTTTTCACGTGATTTTTTTTTAAAGAGCTGTTTGTGAGCCAAAAGAGCCGGCTCTTTTCAGTGAGCTGAGTCAAACGAGCCGGCTCACGAAAAAGAGCCGGATTGCCCATCACTACTTTCAAGCCCTGTTCCTCCTTGAGGCCCCCTTAATATTATTTTTTAGATGTCTACCTTATCTGACACATATTTCAGATCTTGGAGCCTCTACTTAAGAGCTGATCCAATAAATCAGGTGTGCTAAATAATCAAGACATCCAAAATGTGTAGTGCTAGCCTAGGACCAGGAATGAGGTCCACTAATTTGTAGGACGGTCAGTAAGCCAGGTGTATGCAAGGGTTTTGGGAGTTAGTATCAGATACTGCATGCATATTGCATTTATATTCAGGGCAAAATTATATATATATATAAAAAAAATAAAAAAAAAATCTGCTGCACATATGCAATACGCACATACTATGCTGCTGACAAAATGTATGTCACTTGTACTAATACCCTAAAGTGCGCATTACAAATTCAGTTGGCCTATAGGCTACTCCAGGCTTTAAAAAATGTATCGTATTAGAAATAAAATAGAAATAGTATGCCTATGCGCAAATAAATATCCAATATCGAACGATACCAACAATTTAAAACCTCATATTTTTGCCTATGACTGTGCTTCTGTAAGCAAAGCTGAATATGTTGTATAGGCTACATTATACTAAAGAAAATTAAATTGTTCACAGATTTCAGATAGATTGATGTTTATCTTCTTTCCTGGGTTTCTCAGTTAGAAAAATGCTTTTGTTTTCCTGTATAGAAAGAGGTACTGAACAATATTTGATGTGATATTATTGATTCTCTTTTTCTCTTTGTGTCTGGTCTAGGGGTCTCTCTGCAATGGGCCCGGTACCCTTAATGCTCCTGCTTTCCATCTCAGCGCTGGCTGTGCTGGTGTCTGCAGCAGTGGACGATCCCACAGGTGACGATGATTACACCTGGCCACAGAGGAAAGTACCACTGCTACAAGAAAAGCAAACGGTGCATCTGGGCAGTTCAGAGTTTTTGGCCAAGCCGCAGAGTGAGCTCCATGGGATATGTGGCATTGAGTGCCAGCGGGGTCTTCCAAAGCCCAGTCTGGATGATCTGGAGCAGCTACTGTCCTACGAGACCATGTACGACAACGGAACACGCACGCTCACCACCGTCACCGTGCAGGAGCTAAACGCGAGCGACGACTGGACGGGAGGCTCTCGGTTGCGCGCTCGCCGAAGACGAGAGGTCTACGGCACGGATACGAGGTTTACCATCGCTGACAAGCAGTACTCCATGAAGTATCCTTTCTCCACATCTGTGAAGATCTCCACGGGTTGTTCTGGAGTACTGGTGTCCCCCAAACACGTCCTGACGGCCGCTCATTGCATCCACAACGGTACGGACTACCTAGACGGGGTACAGAAACTCAGCGTCGGCGTGCTGAAAGAGCGTTCCCGCCGGAAGAAAGGCCGGAAAGGGAAAGGAAGGAAAGGCCAGAGGAAACATGAAGAAGACGAGGAAGAAATCGACGAAAATGGAGAGATTGGAGATAAGCATGAACGTAAGGGTAAGGGTAAGGGCAAAGGCAAAGGAAGAAGGAACCGTAGTCGCCGCAGCACCGTCTCTGAACAGCCCTCGTTCCGGTGGACGCGGGTGAAACAGATGCAGGTGCCGAAGGGCTGGTTTAAAGGCATCTCAGAGGACATTGTGGCCGATTATGACTACGCCATCCTGGAGCTTAAGAGGGCGCAGAAGACCAAGTACATGGATTTAGGCGTCATCCCCTCCGTCAAGAAGCTGCCCGCTGGACGTATCCATTTCTCGGGATTCGACGATGACCGACCGGGCAACCTGGTGTACCGCTTCTGCTCTGTATCCGAGGAGTCCAACGATCTGTTGTACCAGTATTGCGATGCCAAACCCGGCTCCAGCGGCTCAGGTGTCTACATTCGCCTTAAAGAACCTGGCAAGAAGAAGTGGAAGCGGAAAATCATTGGCGTGTTCTCGGGTCACCAGTGGGTGGATGTTAACGGGGTGCAGCAGGATTACAATGTGGCCGTACGAATCACACCCCTGAAGTACGCACAGATCTGCCGCTGGGTCCACGGGGACTCTAACCAATGTCGGGGCACCTGAGAGAGACTCCATCAGTGGCCTGTCTGACTGCCTCGGTCCCGGCTCTCACCAACCCTTGTGCCTCCCATTTGTGCACTACACAAACTGCTGCATTCATCAACACTAGAGACTATAACACACCATTGAACTTTTCCAAGCTATTTTGATACCTTAATTTATTTTATTAGACAACTTTTGTTATGAATCAGTTGGAACGAATGTACTTCTAGATTCAGTCCTAACGAGAACTAATTCTGTCCTAAACTGTTGTTTTGAATTAGAAAATGTACTTCAATCAGTGTTGTTTGCTATGGGAGGCATTTGTTTTGTCTGGATACCTTGAAAGCTAGATCTGACTAGTTGACACAAGAAAAAAAAAAAACTTTTTTTTTCTGAGAGAAGAAGCTTTGATGTTTGTTATTTTCCTTTTTTCTTTTCGAAGAACACATAAGTATCAATATGCTGGTGTTCTTTGAAATTCTTTATTCTTGTTATCATTGTTATTGTTATTATTAGATGTGACCCTGGATCACAAAACCAGTCACAAGTCGCAGGGGTAGGTCTATTTGTGGCAATAGCCAACAATACATGGGTCAAAATTATCGTATAAAATTATTCATATAATAAAGATCATGTTATATGAAGATATTTTGTAAATCTCCTACCGTAAATATATAACACATTTTTTTTTTTGAGTGAATGCAGCACAATCGCGAACATAAATGGACAACTTTAAAGGCGATTTTCTCAATGTTTTGATTTTTTTGTCCTATCCTAACAAACCATACATCAATGGAAAGCTTATTTATTCAGCTTTCAGATGATGTATAAATCTCAATTTTAAAAAAAATGACCCATGTGGACCCAACATTGACTGGTTTTGTGGTCCAGGGTCACAAATGTTATGATTGTCTTTGACAGCATAAACTGTAACCTGTCTTCATGGGCTATCATTTTGTTTCTGCCTTTTGTATAACAATGCAAGCAGTTAGTTGAAGGTTTAGGCTTAGTTTTCAGAGTCCCTTGTTGACTTTTGGTGCTAATTTAATTTTAAAATATAAAACATTTAAGGACCTGTCGAAGTAACAGCCTACTGTAGAACTGTAAGTAGGTATTTAATGTAAGGCTTGTATTATGAGTTACATATGATCATGTTGTTCTTTACAAAAACACAGGGTTATTTAAATTTAGATATGATTGATAATAAATAGCATTGTAATTATGATAAAGAGAAAAGCAATGCAGCTTCATAGGAAATATAAATCAAAAATCTTAATATAAAATTGATTTATCAAAATCGGATTGCATCAATTTTCATTTTGTACAACTTTTTCCTAAATCTTTTTTATTAAGGACCAAATAAACTGAGATTTATGTATTGGTCTAAGAGGACAAAATATTGTGTGTGTTAATTTTTTTTCCATCAAACTTACATAATCTAACATCTATTTTTTCCAAGTTTGCACATTCCACTTTTTTTTTTTTTTAAACATAGCCCATATTTATAAGAAAATGGTATATATAACATTTAAATTTAATTTTATATACATCAAACATATATATATAAATGGTGTATTATATTAAAATGTTTTTTTTTTTTTACATACCAGGAACATAATATAACTTGTGTATATATATATGTTATATAGTGAGCTCTCCTTGTGAAAACAGACACAGGGGGACACAGGTGGGCAATTCTTCCCATCAGTTTATTGCATCTCAAAGGGCTTACATGCACTATGTAGGGGGTGTCAAATATGAATCAATAAATCAAAATAAAATTTATTTCAAGGGAACAGAGAATTGCAAAGGAGAGATCCAAAAATCTGTCTTTGTCATTTCCATGAGAGATCTAACAGGGAAAGTGATACAGGGCTGTCAGTCAAACCTTTCTGTAACACTGTTTAACAGTGACCTCCTGAAAACTTTGACAAAGATCTAAGAGTCTATCATTGCTAATGAACCTACACCCTATTATCCATGTTATTCTCTTATAAGAGATCTCCTCCACAGTCCATTTTGTTGTGCAAACTACAGTATCACCACTCACCAACAGAGGGAGCATGAATCAACCGGATAACGTATAACAAACAAAGGTCAGGGTTCATAATGTTGTATGAGAGGGTAAGACTGAGAACCAAACATGTGAACGGGTTCTTATACAATTATACAAAATAACACTACATGTACCAGCTTCAGTTTGGATTTCATACAAGCACAAGTAACTATGAGACTCAAACACAGCATTCCACTGACTACAACTGTGAAATCTTGGGGGCTTTTTTTTTGTTTTGTTTTTTGGGAAACATCACCAGTTGAACAAGTTGCTGTACATATTTGTTATTTTAAGATACTGCAAAAGGCCTCTCTCAGAGATCATCTGAGATTTGTAGCACTGAGATTAAGTGGAATTAAAATCCAAATTTGCTGAGGTTATCCGTAAAGATTAACCTCAGGGTTCTTGCGATATCCATAAAGAGTATGTAAACAGTGAACTGACAACGCATTGACTATTAAATTAAAACAATTCAAACTAAAGAATCAAAAAATATATATATGAAAAATAATATGAGTTAAAATACAAAAATGACATGTAATCACCAAGAGGTTATAGAGGAGCCCAGATATGCTATTAATTTATACATAACTCATGTATATTTATATTTCATATATTTATATTTTGTAAACAAACATGTCAGTCGATGATGGGAGATGACAATAGCATTTCTTTTAATCCGATTACCAGGTACACATCAATAAGTTGTCCACAGATAAAAATTTGAGCAGAGGAGAGACCTTTTCATCAATGAGGATAATATACACAGTACCGTCTGCAAATGATACATTGCACACTGCTCCAAAACTAACAGACAACAGAAAGCACTTGAACAACCTGTTTAGGACCTCTGACCCCAAAAGGGAAGTCCCAGAGGAACCAGAATTAAAGTTGAGGGGATCAACACACACACATCATTCAGACTTAAACACTGGAAAAAGTTGACATACATAAGAATCTTTTTTAATCTTTAATTTTCATTTGTGTGCATTTTTTTTTTAAAGATATTTTTTTCTGTTTCGTTCAAAACAAAGATAACGTTGAGATAAGCACATCTTAATTTTTCTCTTTTCTCTACAAGTTACTTCACAGTTTGTGCTACAACATGACACAGGAATGCTGGGTGGGGCCGAGTGGGCGGGGTTTGGGCGGGGGCGGGGTCAGTGGATATCTAGCTGCAGGCTCCTCTGGCATCTGGAGGTGTAAACAGACAGCAGACCTCTCTCACTGGAGCTCAGTCTTTGAGAAAACATTTACTGCAGGTAGAACATGGAGAAAATGTCATGTTACTACGTGAGGCACCAAAGCCTCATTTAAAGAAGTCATTTGTAAGATAATGATACCTGGAAAATTATAAGAAGTCCTTGATGTTGAGATCTGCAAGTGGGTCCTTGGTGGGAGGTTTTTTTGGGCTCTGAGCAGCTGGTCCTGGAGACAACTGATGAAATAAAGGGTGCTTGAGGAAGAGTAATGGCTGATGAAAATTTCATTCATTCAGTCAGTCATTTCAAATGTAAATGTAATTGTTTTTTCAATATCTTTTGCTGTTTTTACTGTTTTTTTTTTTTTTGGATCAAATAAATGCATCCTTGGTGAGCACAAAAGACTCGTTTCAAAAACATTTTTTTTTTAAATTTGTTTTCTGAATATTTTTCAGTCTATCATTCATTTTAGTTAGTAAAAATAACATGCAAAGTGCAAAACTAAACCAAATGTTCCAACAATTATATATGAATTTAAATATAAATAAAACTAACATGTGAGAACTGTTCTTTGAAACCCTGATCTCCTAAAATAGTAATTGTCATGATGCACATTTTTCATCATTATCGTTAACGCGCTAAAAAAACTTTTCTTACAAATATTTCCAACATTTCGTTGATGAGAAGAGTCACCATTAAATCAAAATGGACAATTCTTTTTTTTTTTTTTTATGGAATATTGCAGTATGTGCCCTTTTAATCTTTTATCAAAATAACATCCTCTCCCTCTTCTCTTCTCTGATGACGTGTTTACTGGTGCAGGACAACATGCCACTCACATGAGCTCAAACCACGACCCAATCAATTCCCGATGGACAAACTCAGTGCCCCCTACATTTCTTTCTTGTTCGATAAGTTGTTTCACTCGCATATATAGGGAAGAAATGTCTACTGCAACTTCCATTTCATGTCGACTTTAACAATGTTTGCATGTGCATTTTTGTGTATGTTGATTACTGGTGCTCCGGGTGTTCCTGTTGCTGCTGGCCCTGTAAATGGTGGTCTCATCATGGGCTGACCCATCATCACAGACTGGGGCATCATGGGAGCTCCAGCTGCTGGGGGCTGAGTAAAAAATGACAAGTAAAATAACCATCCATAAGTGCATACAGTAAGTGAAAAATAGAGATTTTTTTAAAACATTTTTAAAAGTGGTTTCTTACCATGCCAAAGCCAGGCTGTGCTCCCATGGGTGGTGCCATTGCTCCAGGTGGGGCGGCAGCTCCTGTGGCTCCAGGGGCAGAGCCAGACTAAACACAATCGGAACAGAAATATGATAAGATATACAAGAAACATTTTAATGTGTTTAAGAAAGAAGCAGCCGCTACCATCTGAGCGCCAGGTGTGCCCCAGCTACTTGGGGCGACCTGAGGGGTCCAGTTTGCTCCTCCTGTCAGTTTCTTCTCACTCCACTGGTTGTCCCTGTGCAAAACAAATAGCTGTCAGCAAACATAATGTGCAAATCATTCATAAACAGCTCTAGGGTCACACAAAGTGAACATGATTAAATTGTGCTCCAATGGATAGTGAATCAATCAAGTTGCCATAACAGTCCAAATGAATTATCAATACGGGTCAGGTTGAGTAAATCATGCTCGTGAATAGACATTACAGATAAGTGACAAGATTAATAGGTGTTTCTGAAACAACATGGACATAGAGACTCGCTGCAACAGACACTGAACTTACTTCTTTTGGATTCCCACTCCCAAGTCTACAAGAGAGGAAGAAACAAGATAAGTTTGAGTCGGCATCATGGGGACAATGACCCCTACATAATCAGTCCATAATTGTTCCATACATACTTCCGACCAGATTGGCGAGTGAAGTGTCCAAGTCTCCTCCAATAGGTTTAATTGGTTGGGCAGCTGCTACGGGTGCCATTGTCGGTACCATTGCGGGCGCCATGGCCGGAGCCATTGCCGGCCCAGCGGTGGGCACAATTCCAGGTGTCAACGGTATGCTCGTTGCAGCCATGGGGGTCCCGCCTGTGCTCTGAGGGGTTATGGCTGGCATCAGAAGGTCTCCTAATCCGCCAAACACTGCCGTTGACAGAGAAGAGTGGGTTAATATAGCCAGCATGGATTGAGAGAGACTATTTTAGCCTAGAATTGATTTGGATATGCAACTTGTCAGCAATCCCATATAATACCAAGGCTGATTTACTGTAACAGAACAGGAGCAAAACAAAAGACAGCAATATTAAAATAAAATATACACAACCGTTCAAAAGGTCAGTAAGATTTTTTAAAATGTTTCATTAGTCTCTTATGCTCACCAAGAATGGATTTATTTGATAAAGAATACAGTAAAAGCAGTTATAATGTGAAATATTATTACACTTTAAAATAACTGTTTTCTATTTTAATATATTTTAAAATGTATTTTATTCCTGTGATGGCAAAACTGAATTTTCAGCATCATTACTCCAGTCTTCAGTGTCACATGATCCTTCAGAAATCAATTATAAAAATTATTATGCTGATTTGGCGCTCAAAAAACATTTATTATTATTATCAATGTTGAAATCAGTTGTGCTGCTTAGCATTTTTATGGGAACGTCTCGGTTGAAGGAGGGAACGGAGATGTAGTCGACTGATTGGGATCACGCTTAGAGAGCCTGTCATCTTCGAGTACTATTAAAACGAGCCAATGTAATTGGCGTGCGTGAAATACATTACACGCTCCGCCCCCGCGGCGCGGGTATAAATACGGAAGTGGATGCACGCACTAGTTGTTTTTCGCTGAGGAGCCGAGCGTAACCTGGAGTCAGCGGTGGTCCAGCAATAGTGGCGACGGGATTACGTCTCCGTTCCCTCCTTCAGGGAACGAGGGTTACATACGTAACCGAGACGTTACCTTTCAGTCGCTCACGTTCTGACGTGAGCGTTCTGACGTTCTCACGACGTGTCGACTGATTGGTATTTTAAAACTCCATCTAGTGCTGCCACCTTCCAGTGCCTAGACAAAAGCCTCCAGATCCCCCCGCAATTAAGGCAGGGAAGGGACAGGAAGGAAAGGACGCTGCGGAAGCCACATCCTGCCCGAAGGGAGGTAACATCTGGAGAATACACATATGAACTGGGCGGATGACCGGGCAGTACAACATATGGAATGTCACTGGGGTGGCTCCAGCCTAAACGGGGGGAGACTCAACCGAACAGTGACGACAGAGCAGGCTCCAGAGATAGGCCCAAGAGGATAAAGAGGGGCGCAGGGATGACCCTTGCTCCCTCAGGAACCTGACGATTAGGACGTGCTTCCCATACTTCTGCATATGATGTTTGTATCATATTGAGTGTGAAGGAACAGCCTACTCCAACCCAACTTGCAGGAAAGAGAGCACTGAAATGACCGAACGCTCTCAGGATCTCCTCACGGAGAGAAGACTCATTCAACGAATAGGTTCCACTCCTAACTAGCGAAGCACAACTGCCTTATCTTAAGGGGGTGCTTGCAGAAGTGATGGTCACTACCACCTATCCTTGTGATAGCGACCTGAACCTCCCCGTCCAGTTCTTTGAACGCGGGTGCCATCATGCCCCGTCCCTGAAATGTATTCAGGGGAAGTCAGGAAGGCTGTCGAGGGAACTAGACCTGGTTGGGCCAAAAAGGGGCAACTATCAAGACCTGTTCTACTCCTGACTTAGCACAGTAGGTGCAAGCGACATGCACGCACAAGACAGGAGCACTGCTCAACACTAGATGTGATAATTCACTGAGCTTCAGGACCATTTCTGCTCAACACCTGAGTGTGATGAACATCACTGAACTTGAGCAGCGCCAAGCGATAATGAATCGCATAGCCGCTTTCTTAGAAGGCTCACTGGGGAACGCATTTCTGCGGGGCCCCGGGGTCAGCTGAGAGCCAGCGTCTATCCAAGGGATGTCCGCTCAGACAGAAACACAACTGGCAGAGGGACGAGTCCAGAGAGGCAACAGATGTAACTGTGGGGCCCCGAAGTGGTCCCTGCCCAGCTGGACCGTCAGGGGATTGGAGTCTCCACTCTCCCTGGCCATAGCTGTCGTGAGGCTCGTTGGCGGCACGATTGAGCAGGCCGGAAAATTTTTATAGTGGAATGAAGCAACCTCAGAAGCTTCTGACTCCAAGGAGAAGGGTGACGGGTGAGTTGTGACATGCGAGGGAAGCTTAGCGCAACGGTCACGATGTTGTCTTTTCAGACCAGTACCAGCTCGCTGAGCAGTGGTGGCTCAAAGCGAGGTGAACTGACAACTCGAGGTAACGAATACCAATGCAGTCGGAGATCGCCCAGGCCTCCATTAAAGCATGTCCTTTGTACATGGTCCCTTAATCGGTGTTAGTGGACCTGAAGGTCTGAACACGGGCTAAAAGAGTTTGGCGGCAGGCCGGGGTGATCTTTTATCACACAGGGCGTGCCGCTCTGCCACGGTCACCTTGGGACTCGATCATAAAACTAGTGCTGAAGCGGTCTTCATATGGAGGAAGCCAAGCGGCTGCGTCTGCCATATGCCCCAGGAGCCTCTGAAATTTTCCGTGGGACTCTTTCTCATTCTAGCACTAGCCTAACACACTCTTCCTGAAGAGACGTGTTGGACCGAGTCCTTCTCCTGAACTGAAAAAGAGATACTCAGCCCGTGGGCAAGATTACTCTCTCCCAGTTGACCTGAAGACCCAACTGGCTATGGAGCACTCGAAGGGTAGGACTTGTACTGATACTTCGTACCCTCGACGCCAGAACAGAGAATGGTCTGTGGAGCGGAAGGATAGAGATCTGAAGTACTGTCCTTCAGGTCGAACGCTGCAGGCCAAACTTGGGCACGGAGCATTTGAAAATGCATTTCTGTGTAGTAATTGAACAGAGGCTTTCGAAAAGGGCCCGTTTCAATTGACACAGGTCCAAGATGGCCATAACCCACCACATATCTAGGGTACAATGAAGTACGGGTTTATAGAAACCGGTCTTCATATCGGCTGGAGGAGAGGCTACATCGCGTCCTTCGCCAGTAGGACTGCGACGTCCACACACAGGACAGGAGCAGCGCTCAACACGTAGGTGTGATAAATATCACTAATCTTTGGAGCATCTCAGCTCAACACGTAGGTATGATGAATATCACTGAGCCAGGGCGAAGCCCAGCGAAATTAATAGCAAGCCGAGTCTGCTGGTAGTTTCGGGGCCAGCTGGAGCGGTAGGAAGCATCTTCAGGCTTACACACACCGTGCCAGAGGCCAGGGAACCACAGACGTACCCGAGGTAGGGCAGCGAGGTGGAGGACAGGGACCCGGATCGGAAGGCCCGGAGGCGGCCCGAAGCAGGGTCTGAGTGTGGTGTACGACACTTACCTGTCTCCACAAAGACGGTTTAGGGACACCTAGCTGCCGTGCTGGCGAACAAGAGGGGGCTGAGGGGTGCAAGGCTTACAGGGTCGCACACCGCCAGACTCGCCCTCTTGGGACCCAGGAACAGAGGAATTTGCTCTTTCTTTGGAGTGTGGGTACCACTTGCTCCGCTTCTTTTGGGAGCAGCGGAGGAACAGACACACACACAAACAAAGACTCCACCTGGCTGTGACCTGGGGGGAGGGAGTGGATCGGTGACCAACTCCCAGAGCATCCTCCTCCATCCCTGAGCGGCCCGTTCCGGAATGCTTTCGCTGTGGCTTGCCACCTCCATGCTGAGGCCTGGCTTAAGGCTGCTGCGGAGGCCTAGTGGGAGCGGCGGCAGGGGAATGCCCTCGGCGACGAGCAGGCGGAGGAACTGCCACCGGCGGCGGGGTGGAGGCAGCAGCGGGCCGCCGAGGCAGGATGTGCCGGATGGCCTCCGTCTGCGCTTGGGCGGCAGAGAACATAGTTCTCCGCCCCGTCGCCGACCAGCCCAACCTGGGAAATTGGGGAGACCAGGAACCGAACCTTGTCCGCAAAAGCTGCTTCAGCGTGCTGTAAGCCCAAACACGTGATGCAACAATTGTGACCGTCAGAGATGAAAAGGGAACGACCGCATCCAGAAACGCACAGGTGGAATGACATCTTTTTTTTTTCTCTTTTTTTTTTAAAGATGCAAACGCACCCGTGTTGCTCTTTCAGGAAATAGGACCCATCACCAGTGCCGGAGCACACATGGGAATGACCGCGGCAACACTGAACAGTGAACTAAAACAGTGAAGCACTCACTTTTCCGCCCTCTAACCAGCCGTCAACACACACAAACCTTTAGAAATTTGTTGCTGTTAGAACAGTAGTTAAGAGCTCAAGCTCGCGATCACCGCTGCACTCGCGCTGTAGAAACCACCAGCACTGGGAGAGTTTTCCAGAAGAACACCGACACACTCGCTCGTTGTAAACAACAGCACTCTTCAGAGACATCAAACGATCGGGTCCGAAGTGAAAGACAACTAGTGCGTGCATCCACTTCCGTATTTATACCCGCGCCGCGGGGGCGGAGTGTGTAATGCATTTCACGCACGCCAATTACATTGGCTCGTTTTAATAGTACTCGAAGATGACAGGCTCTCTAAGCATGATCCCAATCAGTCGACACGTCGACTACGTCGAACGTGAGCGACTGAAAGGGAACCATACATATTTTGGGGGGATTCTTTGATGAATAGAAAGTTCAAAAGAACAGCATTTATTTGAAACAGAAATCTTTTGTATCATTATCAATGTCTGTAACTTTTGGATAATTTAATGTGTAATAAAAGTATGAATTTCTTAAAAATAAAAATCTGTCTGACCCCAAACCTTTGAACGAAAGTGCACATGTATTAAAAAAAAAAAAAAAAAAAATTGAAATCCACACATTTATAATAACATTCATGTGGTATTCAAAAATTGCATCCAGGGGTGTTAACTACATGCATTGGGAAACCAAAAACTGGCAACACACATCAGAACATCTTTATAAACAGGATTTTCATTACATTACAACATGGTTGGACGCATCATGTCAGGCACCAAAGAAAATATCCTCACTGCAGAATTAATTGTACCGGATGGGGAGATGGGCTGAGATCATACACCTCCCAGTCAATGACCCAAAACTTTAAACCTTAAAGGAAAGGTTTTGGGTCTTAAAATTTTTTAAAGGTGCACCAAGTATTTTTGTTAATTTATTTTTTATAGCTTAAAATGACTTGCAGCAATTTTTGCATCTAAAGAAATGAAGAAATATTTTACAAATACTTAATGTACAACCTAGAAAAGCATGAAGAATTCACAACACATTTATAAAGTAGCTAATAATATATGCTGAAAGGATTATTTTAGTGCACCTTTTATGAAAAAGTATTCCGGTACAGTACCAACAACACTAAGGCAGGCAATTCATTCTAATGCAGTAATGCTCAAGATCTGTAAAATAGGCGAGCAGGGAAAAACTGCACAGAGTTCAAAGGGTAAAGGGTGTGCATGTGCAGTGGATGAACAAACAGCGCAAGAACATTCAAACCTCCCAATCCCTTTAGCGTGATCGGCTACAGCGATACATGCCGCAAAGCCCTGAGTTCTCTCACCAACTCACCAATCGCACAGCAGGAGCAAGCAATGAGCCAGATCAGTATGCAAGGAGAGAGTTATCAGAAACGAAGTGCAGAGAGAGAGAGAGAGAGAGAGAGAGAGAGAGAGAGAGAGAGAGAGAGAGAGAGAGAGAGAGAGAGAGAGAGAGAGAGAGAGAGAGAGAGAGATGACAGAATAATGGGACAGATGATAAAGTTGAGAAAAGCAGTATTATAGTAAGAGAGCAAGAATAGACAGAACACAAGAAGAAATGAAAAAGGAGAAAAAGCACAGGGAGAACGCATTTTATAAGCACTGCCACATCCTCTCTGTATTATTTAAGAAGGTCAGCAGATACAGAAGTGCTCATGCAAGACGAAAGTGTGCTGAGAAGCAAGCAAGCTTGAAAAACGGCACGCTGTGTTCAAGAGAAAATAAAAACAGTTTTGGCAAAAAGGTAATTATCAATGTTTAATGTGAGAGTATAGTAATCTGTTCAAAACACCTGGGGAACACATATAATATGATTTTTCACCTGACGTATCGAAGCCACCAGATCCTGCTGCGGTGGCGAGGCCGCTGTCTGCCACTGCTGGTGTGGAGGACACCGGCGAACTGCCGAAGGCATCAAAACCCGACTCCAGCAGGTCAGCTGGGGCTGAGACTGGCACTACTGCTGGGGTTGGTGTAACCGTCGGGGTGACCGGTGAAATCAACCCTACAGACATCAGCGGGTGAGACGCCAAATCCACAATACACTTTTAGATTTTATTTTAAAAAGGTTTTGGAATTTGTTTTAAGTTTTTATATATATATATATATATATATATATATATATGTATATATATTAGTGCTGTCAAACAATTACAATATTAAATGTCATAGTTAACTCGCGATTAATCGCAATTAATCGCACATTTTTATCTATTCTAAATGTCTCTTGATTTCTTTTTGTCCCATTATTTTTTCTAATTTTAATGCTCTTATCAACATGGAAAAGTGGATCGGCTTGCTTTGTGCAAATGTTTTTTTTTTAAAACAACATTGGCATATACTGTGTTCAATTTCACACTAACATTCTCACTTGGAGCAAATAATCTCTCACACAATGTAACACTGTCCATCAATAAAAGGGTGAAAGAAATACTGACGAGGTTCTGATATTGGAGGAGGGGGCGGAGAATTTGCATCAGCTGTGTGTGTGCTTGCTTGGCCATTATCAAATGGTATTTCAGACTGGACGTGCTGCGATGATGATAGCTCAGTTCACAACGACAAAACACACATCACTTTGGTCTTGTCAATGGAACCATTTGGCAACTTTTTAAAAGTAAACTTTCCATTCAGAATCTTATTGGCATCCATTTCGGCGTCTCGCGCTCGTCATCCACTCAAAACGTAACGTTAACCAACTATTTGGCCGGCGCGCAAGCCCAAACAAGTGTGTGCGGCGGCGTGCCTGTTTTGTTTCCGGTCTAGCTAGATCCGCTTGCGCTTTGGTCGACGAAGCAACAAAACGTCCTACCGCGGCGCAAGCGGGCGCAAGCCATTGAAATGAATGGGTTTCATAGTGCAGCGCCGCGCATGCCGCGTCCTGTTGCAAAAGCATGTGAAAAAAACTACAACGTTTGCTAGGCCAAAAAGACCGTAAAATGGGTTTGCATTAACGCCGTTAATAACGTGTTTAACTGACAGCCCTAATATATATATATATATATATATATATATATATATATATATATATATATACACACACACATACACTGTGTATATATATGCATAAAGCAAAAAATAAAAAAAATAAAAAAAATTATATATATATACACTAATACAAATTCCAAAAGCACAAAAAAATTACTAAAGCATAACATAAAATTAAACTGAAAATCTACAAATAAAGGCTAATTCAAAATATTAATAAAAACTATATAAAGCTAAATATAAATTAATAGAGCAAAAAAAAAAATATATATATATATATATATATATATATAATTATTTTTAAAAATCTAACATTTTAAATAAAGCTTTTTATTTATATAATTAGCTTTATTTCAATTAGCAAAAAAAAATTTAATAGTTTAGTTAACAATAACAACACTGCTGAGATGAGAATTTATTTAATTTTTTTATTATCCTAATTTAATACAAAATTTAATTACAAATTATATTATCAGCATAACAATTTACACTTAAAGTTTTACTGAAAAAGTAATCTGCTAGCATTAATTTATAGAAAAGTATTTAATCTTAGCATTATATATATATATAATATATTATTATTATTAATATTATTGGATAAAATTATACATTTAACAAAAAAGCAATGATAATAACTATTATTATTATGATTGTAATTCAATTATTAATTACTATCATTTATTTATTTGTTTTCACTTAATTATTTATTAGGCATTAACTGCATAACATAAATAGAACAGCACTTCGGCAGTGCTTGTTCTAGCTTCTGTTTCATCATCAATCAAAAATGAGATTTGTGACCATACCTCCAAGCAGGTCACAGGATGGTGCTCCGGGAGCAGCGGACTGGGAGTCTCCAGTAGTGTCTCCAAATGTGTCTGTTCCAGAGACAGACGTCCCACAGCGCAGCATGAAGGAGGAGAAGCATTAGTCAGCCTTAAAGCTGCATACACACCGAGAGAGGGGCAGATGGAGAGAGTGAGCCGAGATCATACAACAGGCCCACACAGAATCACACCGTAACAAACACTGACACATGGATGTGCATTCCCTGTATCTTTCCACACTTAAAATGTATACGGCACAGCATGCAAATACACTATACTCAAACACATACCAAATAAACGTCTCTCTTCTCAACATCATCATCTGCTCACTTAACAGACACTGATAAGAGTACCCTCTGTAACTGAAAAACTGGGTTATGAAACAGCTGGTGTATACTTACCAGTTCATAAATTTAAATGTCTATGCTATAAAATGAACTTGAACAAGCTCAGCACCAACGTTGTGTAGTCAGATGTAAAAACCTGATCATAATTCTCTGGGTTACACTGCAGTGGAAGTCTTTGAATATGAATATCTCAATATTTAAGCACTTCCTCTGGTCTTCTAGGTGTTTTTTATGAGAGAGTTTAGGGGACACACCAAGGAGATCCAGCACAGGTCCAGGCTCGGCTTTAGGAGGAGAGACAGGAGCCGCGTGAGCAGCACGTGTAGGAGCCACTGGAGCAACAGCTGGAGCAACAAATGAGTCTATATGAGAAAGAGAGAGACACCTTTGAAAATAATACTAGCAGTTTAAAGTGTTACTGTGAGGTATAGTGAAAATAGAAGTGCATTGAAGAACATTAACCAAATACAGCATTAAATTAAAGGGATAATTCACCCAAAAATGAAGATTCTGTCATCATTTACTCACCCTCTTGTCATGTTAAACCTGCATGACTTCCATTCTTTTGTGGAACATGCTAGGTTTAGCGAGACAAGCCTCAGACACTCACCAGACAAGAGATCACCAGTCACACTGGCCTCAGGCAAAGGTGAGGGCCCGCGTGACACAGCGGGAAGATCTTCCAGACCAAGCCAAAGCAGAAAGAGGAAGTGGAGGATGAAATACAAGAGAAGAGAAATCAATAAGGAGCAGAAGCACGTAAATAACACAGAGTCGTGCTTTTGAGGGTGCAAACATGCACAAGTCCACATTCCACTATGAGGACAAACCAAGACGGAGTGGGCAAAAAAACAGATGAGAAAGAAGAAAGGTGAGACTAGAAGAGACGAGACGAGACGTTCAATAGAAGTATGGGAATCAACTCCTGTACCTGCACCAAATAGGTCTACGCTAGGAGTGGTTGCTTTGGGCTCTGTGGAGGAGCTTTGCTCAGGCATAGAATCAAACATATCTATAAACAAGGACACACATTTGCATTACGCTTCTAGTCAGTGCATAACATGACAGCTTCAAGTAAAAGAGAGAGAGAGAGAGAGAGAGAGAGAGAGAGAGAGAGAGAGAGAGAGAGAGAGAGAGAGAGAGAGAGAGAGAGAGAGAGAGAGAGAGAGAGAGAGAGAGAGAGGAATCGCCATTTAGACGAGAAAACATTTTTGCTTTGCTTGCTTTTTTCCATAATCACTCTGAACAAGTAGCACAAAAGACAATTTAATCAAGTCTGCAAATGTCAATGCAAACTGCAGCATTCAGATTATGGTCAAAAAGCCAGAAAATGATTGCAGGACAAATGTGGTCACTGCAAATCCTGGATTTTGAAAGATTGCAGTGGGATTTTAGAGGCCAAATGTGAATCAGTGACACTGACCACCCCTCTTGATTTACAATTATATATATATATATATATATATATATACTGTATATATATATATATACACACACATATTTTTTATACAGACATTTTATACATATCAATTGATATGTACAATTATATCAATAGTATAATATTTTAGAAATATTTCATATTTACACTACTGTTCAAAGGTTTGGGTTCGGTAAGATTTTTAAATGTTTTTTTAAAAAAGAAGTCTCTTATGCTCACCAAGGCTGCATTTATTTGATCAAAAATAGTAAAAACAGTAATCTTATGAAGTATTATTACAATTTAAAATAACTGCTTTATATTTTAATATATTTTAAAATGTAATTTATTGCTGTGATGGCAAAGCTGAATTTTCAGCATCATTACTCCAGTGTTCAGTGTCAATTCAGAAATCATTCTAATATGCTGATTTGGTGTTCAAGAAACATTTCTTATTATTATCAATGTTAAAAAAAATGTGTGCTGCTTAATATTTTTTGTAGAAACCGTGATAGATCTTTTTTTATTCTTTGATATAAAGTTCAACAGAACAGCATTTATTTGAAATAGAAATCTTTTGTAACATTATAAATGTCTTTATTGTGACTTTTGATCAATTAAATGCATCTTTGCTGAATAGTAACAGAAGTGTATGTTTATATTTATATTTCAAACTATTGTTTATTCCTTAGAACTGAAAAGGTGGTTAAAGTCATGATTCACAAACCAGAATGACCAACAAATAAAATAGAAATCTAAATGAGAGAAATCAAACAAAGAGAATCTTAATAATGTTGGGGAACTAGCGTAGCAAGTTAATACTGTCATAATGCAGAGTAAAGCAAGACAGAGGCAGAACTACAGCAGAAATATTACCACTAAACAGGTCTAGTGTTGGCGGAGCCGCAGGCTCAGTTGTAGCAGATGCGGTGGTGGTGGCAGTAGCGGGTGGAGGAGAGGGGACAGCAGGGGCCGCTGTTGGTGAGATGCTCGGCTCGTCGCTGGTAGGGGACGCTGGGGCAACGATACTCTCTACTGGCTTCATGGCAAAGAGATCCAGCTCTGGGGCAATGCTTGAGCTCCCCTCGGATGTGGCCCAGGGGTCTTTATTAGGGAGGGGTGGGGGGTGAAAATGGAGTGGGGAAGGTTTGTTACATAACAAACACTGCAAATGAAAAAGAAACACACTGAAAGCTCATAACTTCAGCAGCACTGAAATCACGGAGAGAGAGAGAGAGAGAGAGAGAGAGAGAGAGAGAGAGAGTGAGAGAGAGAGAGAGAGAGAGAGAGAGAGAGAGAGAGAGAGAGGGGAGATGGATTTTATCTTAAAAAGCACACTTTAAGACACCATTAACCTTAGTACTGCAATTAAAATTAAAGTACTGATTAAAAAGTAGTTCAAAACTGTTTTGGTTCACGTTTATTTGCTTAGTCAAGGGCTGTGTCCGAAATCGCCCCCTATACCCTTAAATAGGGCACTATTTGAGTGGAAAGCCATTTGTAGTGGTGTCCAAAACCATAGTGGACATTATCAAGTGTACTCATTCAATCCCACAATGCACCACAATAACGAGTGTACAACCGATGTTCACTCAACGGCTATGTGATTCTGCCATGTGTCATGTTCTGATTGGTTGTTTTGGTCATGTGTTTCTCAGTTCTGTTTGTCATTGGTTTATTGGTTGATTATTTTCAGGTGTGTCTTGTCTAGTCATTAGTCTTTGAGAACATATAGACCTCATGTTTCTATTGTCTGTTTGTTTGCTTTGTTTGTGTTCTAGCCAAGTCTCTAGTTCATGTCATGTCATGTCATGTTTTTTTTTATTTCGTTTTTTTTATTCTGTTTCAATATACTGCATATGGGTTCGCATTCAACTTGCCTTCAGTGGACTTATGTTACAAAAACACAATAAACAATGTTATGTTTTAGTATGTTTTGTATTATACATATTTGAGGTGGTCAAAAACTAGGAAGTACAGTCTGGATGTCAAAAGTTGCAGATTGGCAGCAATATGGAAGAGCCAAGTTATTTATTAGTTATTACTTATTTGATAGTTCACTTCAGACATTCTACTGACTATAAGTAACTTTGCATGTACATGTCAACTTATTAACCCTAACCTAACCGTCTTCTAATACTCTAATGAAAATTAGTTGACATGTAGTTGCAAAGTAGTAGAATGTCTAAAGTGGTCTATCGAAATAAAGTGTAACCCTAAGTTACAATAAAAGCAAATATAAAGTAAGGTAAATATAGAGTAACTCTGTTCATGTTCTATGACACCGCAGCTGCAAGGTTTTGCTCTCCAAATTTCATGAAATTAAAGTTTAGGTTGTTTAAATGAATCACTGCTACTGAAAATATAAGCTGGAAGGGAAATTATTAGTAAAGGTAACATAGCACTCAAAAATGTTAAGCCTTTTTCTCTTTTTTTTTAAAGATTTATGCATTTCAATTAATAGTAAAATTCCATCAAATTGTATTGAATAATCCTTATGTAAAAATATGTAAGGATTATTCAATTCAATTTGATGGAATTTTACTATTTTACTATTAATTGAAATGCGTAAATCTTGAAAAAAGTCTTAATTTTTTTTGAGTCTTTCCCGCAGAAAGTTGAGGCAAAAATAATTTTCAATCATCAACTTAAGGATTTTGTTTTGTTTTCAAAACATCTAAACATCCTTAAAACAAAATTAATTTAGCTTTTAATGTTTTAAGGATATGTACATTTTTTACTGTAAAACAAGAACAAAATAATGATTAAAAATGATTTTTTTTTGTAATGTAAGGAGAGATATTATTAATTGTGCCTGCAGAGAATGGTGTATGTGCTCAGGCAGGTCATGGACAAAATTATTTTGCTGTATCGCGTGGGGAAAAGCAGGGTTAAAAACCGAAACAATGCAAACAAAAATCACATTGCATGCACTCTCTCTCGCACACACAGACTGCTGACCATTAGCGGTTGTTGAACTTCAGGTTTCCATTCAAGCACGCGACCATATTACACACAAACCTCCACACACACACACACACACACACACACACACACAAATAAAGAGCAGGGTGCTAAAGGATCTTGTGTACGGACGAACACCCACCAGATCCGGCACATGCATCGGCAGCAGCTGCTGGGGCCACACCCTCGCTCGGACCATCACCTGGGGAGGGCGCAAACGCATCTGGGCCGAACCAAACCAACAAAACCCAACAGAGAAAAAGAAACGGGGATGAAGAGGCTATAGAGAGAGACTTCTATAAGTGAACAGAAACACTCTATACAACCCAAATGGCAGTAAAATAGACCAGTGTGGGCTGTATACAGTTTAATTCAGTGTGTCCACACACAAACACACTGAGGGAAATGAGTCAGCCTGCGTGAAACATCCAGTCAATGCCGTCAGGACCAACAAGTGAGTAAAACGTGTTGGGTTTGACAGCATTGCTTCAGTTAACTAAAGCCAAGGCGGTGATGAGCATTGTGGCATTTGATATTTCAAACCCCATCAAAACCTGCACGACTCATTGTGATGACCAGGTAAGAATGAATTCATTTATTAACCAAGAAAAAAAAAAACTTTTTTTGTTTTTGTTTTTTTAAACCGACTGTTAATTTAATTTGAGGATTATCAAATCAACAGTCTGCACAGCTTTGTATGGAACAAGGTGTCAGTTACTGGTAGGGTTGCCAACTTCCATATAATACAGAATCATCCTGCAGTTGAAGGAACTGCATTCATTCCGCACAAGACTTTTGGGTTACACTTTATTTTAAGGTGTCCTTGTCACAATGTAATTATACATTTAAGTACTGATTCATATTAATTAACAACATGTACAACATGTCTGTAATATTGTATGAAACTTTAATAGACATTAATAGCATTATTATAGTTTATCATAACAAACTGAAACCATAAAAACATACATTAGACATTACATGTTTTTTTTACAACAAGTGAAATGCATTTTAGTACTTAATTCTTTTTTATATACAAAAGTCGGCAACCCTATTTATTAGAAACATTTATGTATAAAATTGTATTAAAATAAAACTAAAATCTAAAATTTTTATTCCATACTCAATGTGTTATTGGTTTGTTTACTCCAAATTTAAAAACACTAATATCACATTTCTGCTGGCAAAGTGGAGCTAAACCTGGCCTGGGATTAAACATTTGCATGGCATGAAAGTTGACAGTTTAAGGTGATTTGATGTCTCTTATTTGCGGTTGACCTTTTATAATCAGGGCTGTACTGAAATGTCTGCTGTAAGCGATCTCATCTCAAGTGAACTAATCCTTAGCTATATAGTATGCCTCATTAAACAAATGGATCAACTCAGCTGGTAGGCCTAACAATACTTATGTTCTTTTCTCCCTTGGATTAATCCTATCTACTTGTATTGTTCTCATTTGAATAAAATAATCTGTTAAATGAATAAATATGGTCCAGTGAACTAATTATCTTCTACTTACACAATAGTGACTTCAGGCCACATATTGCAAAAGGAATAAAAAACACGGCAAATTATGTTTGCCAATATGGCAAAATGCATTTACCGAACTTAAATATAAAGTAATTGACAAGTTACTGTACCTTCATGAAAAGCAGTCATGTGTCAACTGAGTGACTTCAAACAGTACCAGTAACAATTCATGCACCCAAACCAAGCTTTTACCAACAAGTGATTCAAAAAACAACCGATGAACTCAACATTCTTCCCTGATGGTTAAACCTGGAAATGACCTGACTGACCTCCAAACAGATCCATGTCTGAGACGGTGGCCGGCACTGGCAGCGAGGCAGCGGCAGCTGGTTCAGTAGCAGAAGCTGCGGCAGAGTCAGCCTCAGCGAGGGGCGCTTCAGAGTTAGCGGTAGCAAGAGAGTCTGGAACCCCGCCACAGCCAAGCCACAACCAAACCACAGCATTCAGAAAGACAGAGGAGGAGAGAGAGGCAATGAAGGGATGTAGGCAGGATGAAATAAAGCTGTGTGTGGTGAGATTTTAGCAAAATGACTTCATAAAGCTACAGCTGGGTCAAAAAAGAAGAATGCAGATTTGGACAGTAAAAAGTTTGTTCAGAAAGTTCCTGGTAGACAAGACGCAAGGGTGTCCTGCCCATTCAAATTTTGAAATGATTTTCAATTACTATTATTTTTATAAAATTCGAAATAAAAATATGATTAGGTTGCTAAATTATTATAGGAAAATAAAATAAAATAACATGTTGATTTTTGTATGATACATTTTAAGGCTCAGATCCTGGATAGAACACTTGTGTATATGCAATCTAAAAATCATCTCTACTCACCCTCACCAAGCAGATCTGACATCAAAGCCAAAAAACAGGGAAATGAGTGAGGAAGAAAAGAAGAAGATTATGTTAGATGCAAACAGATGTTTGATCTCTCCTTGAATCAGCTGATCCCAAATTTTTCTTTCTAAAGAAACTGCGGCTTACAACTGGGACTTGACAAGCTTGGGTAGAAAAGCAGAAAGGGAAAGACATTTCCAATTAGTCTGTCATTAGAACTCATTAGAATGCCCACTCAATATATATTCCCCTAATTGGCCTAATTTTGGTAGAAAATGGTTCATGCAGTGGAGCTCAATAGACAAACTAGTAGTGGTGATATGAATGATGAACACACCGATAACAACCTAAACCTCCAGTTTTTTAGTCTCTGTAACAATAAATGCTGGAGATTTTTGCACAACTTTAACCAGAAATGTGATCAGTTGACCTGCCCTGATAAAACAATATCAAAGAATGTAATAAAACAACAACAACACTCTTCAGTACAGTGGTTATTGCTGGTGTTTGTGGTTTATAGCAGCAAAATGAAATGACATCAGCTCACCTCCCCATGATGCTGTGGGAGCCGCCGAAGCCCCTGCGGTTGGAGCCAACAGATCAAAATCCACAAGATCATTAAAGCCGCTACTATAGAGAGAAAAAGACAAGAGAGAGTAATGTATATACAGTAAGGACATGTCACAGATAGTTGTGTTTTATTATAATAAGACAACTTACTTGATGGTGGTTGTAGCTGGTGCTGCTGCAATGGTGTCAGTTACTGCGGCTGCTGCAGAAGTGGGATCAGCGGTACCAGCAGTTTTGGCAGGGGTACCAGCAGGCGTTCCATTATTTGTTGGAGATCCTTTCTATGTGCGGCATGTTGGATTTACCATTTATTTGAATAAATAGACAGTAATATGAATTATGTCTTATAATACTTTATAGTATAATACAGAATTATATACGGTTCTGTTCAAAAGTTTGGGGTCAGTACGATTTTTTTTAAAGATACAAATATTTTTTTACTCAGCAGCGATGGATTTAATTGATCAAAAATGACTGTAAAGACTTTTACATTGATACCAAAATCACAGAATCCTGAAAGAACATGTATTAAACAGATTAAACAACAATATTAGGCAGCAAAACCATTTTCTACATTGATAATAATAAGAATAATTAGTGAAACTGAAGACTGGAGTAAAGACTGCTGAAAATTCAGCTTTTCAATCTCAGAAATAAATCACAGAAATAGAAAACAGATTGTTTTGATTCATTTAAATTGTAATAATATTTCACAATATTACTGTTTTAGTGTATTTAATCAATTAAATGCAGCCTTGGCTAGCATAAGAGACTGACCCTAAACTTTTGAACGATAGTGTAATACTGCATAATTCAACTGTAAAAAAGTTTCACATTACTCACCTTAGTAGGTGACCTAGTGGTAGGAAACGTAAATAATGTAAGAATGGCTTTTGAAATAACTTAGACAACATTCTACTCAAAAAGTTAAATGATGGAATTATAATTCATGATATGAGGAATCATTTCAAACAGCAAGCAGGCATTATGCATTAATGACTAATAGTCTTATTGTCCTACTACTCATTTCGATTTTTTTGTAGGAAACATAAGCCAAAATGAATCCAAGTTATACAATCCTAAAAAAATATATAATATTTCTTTTAAATTCATATAATATCAATAGCTGGCATGCACTGGGGAATACGGGGTATTCAGTTACGATACGATTGCATGACACTGAAATGAAGACTACCAAATACAAAATCGATCAATTCTAGGCTGGCACTGTTAGTGTGTTAAGTTCAGTCTGGTTCAGCTTGTACAGAGTGAACTTAATTATAAAGCTCAGCTGGACAAAAAAATAATTCATTCTATAGAGAGAGGGAACTTTAGCATTTTAAAATGCTGAAACTTAAAACTAAAGTTCAACCATCAGTCTATAGAACTGTGAACACCACAATGACGACAACATCACCATTACAGTACAAAAATATAATTATGTTTACGGTACAAGTGAATTCTGCCAAACATTCTGTAGAAATACTCACTCATCACTGTTAACACAAGGAAAGGAGGGACAGTATTACTGTTTGTAATAAAAGTATCGATTTTATCAGCAGTAGAAAAGATTCATGCATTCGAGATAAAGAAGATCGACTTCTTTTGTTTCATTGCTTCATATTATTCAGAAGACTTTAAGCACTTACACTTTCTTCCCCTCCAGTGTGTTGAGATGTGTCTCCAGAGATTCCAGAAGACTCTCAGGGGCCTACAAAGCCACAAAACAACGCATTGTTAAAGTGACCTACTGTACCACCAAGGACACAATCATTCAGACTACAAAACACAAAAATGCAAAGTCAAGCTGCTAACAGTGAATGAAGACAAGCAGAGGACAAATATTACTAGAAAATGACTATAACTTATATAATTATAGTTTATATTGTAACACAATAAATGTATACATTTATATAAGTTAATAGACTTAAGTAAAGAATTCTCCCCGCTGGTTTGGATGCAGAACACAATGCTTTATTTCATGGTCCCAGTGGGGCCCACAATGCATTGCAGCATGCTCACTCATGCATTCAGGCACAACAGAGACATTCAGAGCACATTATTGGTTAGACATGCCACATAATCGCAGGTGGGTGTATCTCATGGGTAACAATGTCATACAGTTACAGCTAAATAGGCCAAACAAATCATATATATTAAAATAATATATAATCTGATCCATTTTTGTGGTTAATTCATGAATAAGAGCTAAATAAAATGCCTTGGGTCTAGGGTAATATGATATGGGCCATAATACCTTAGAGCATCTATCGATTGTCTAGGTCTAGTCAAAATACACACATCTAACCTACATACATGACATATAATGCCAGAAAACCTTTACAATTCTCAAATCTTGAGAATTAAATGTTGTTTGATCAGGCCTGGAAAAATACCATCATCATCATTAACATAAATTCAACTACTTATCATGTACAGATAGAGTGGGGTGCCTTGTCAGATCTGGTGACCCTGCTGTATGTCTGTAGCTATTCACATAATACCTCATTTTGTAATATCTGTACAAAATAATAATAATGCAAATTAACAACACATTTATTACTGTATTTGATGCATAAACACCAATCAGAATGGTAAAACACACAGACAAATATTACAATAGCTATATTTCCATCCAAAGTAGCAAATTTAACTTCATCAAACTGGACTCAAAATTGGATCACGTAAAGCATTGCGAATAAAGCAAGTTTCCATCCCAAGTGATCAGGAGAACAAAATCGTCACTTCCTGGGAACTTAAAATGGAAGTTTCTGCAGTCGGAGGCTTCCCCGAGGCTCTTTTTTCATACATCATAAATGATTTGCGACTTTCAGAGAGCACAGACAAAACGTAATAAACTCTGTCATGTTATTTTGCGTTCAGAGGAGGATGCCTGGTGTTTGGAAATGCAATCCTGTGAGACAGTTCTGGGAGGTCATTATACAAATACCAAATCATTTTGATGACAGACTTTGGCTAAGGCATTTCAGAATGACCAAACCAACATTTGAGATGCTGTGCAATGAAATTGGTCCACTGGTTAGTCCAGTTATTCAATCTCAATCTGGACGCAAAATCGAGTGAGTTTTTTGTTGAGTTTCAGAAAACATGTTTCCATCGTAGTTTATGTGCGAGTCTTCTTATTGGATAAAAAAAATATCCGCCTCAATTGAGCGCACAAGTTTTTTATGCACAATTTGAGAAATTATGCGCATCTTGGCATTTCCATCCACCGTTTTTTGGATGGAAACACGGCTAATCATAATGAACCAATAGCACTCGGACAACTTATCTAAACATATTATTTCTTGAAGTAAATTAACCTCTTTTACAGCACCAAATTTGACAGCTAGATGCCATTTGACCAACCAGAATAGAGAATTCCAAAGTGTAATTAATATACATGACCTATTGCTGTTCATCAAAATAGTGTATGGAAATTCCTACAACAATTCAAGCAGTGGCAGCTATACGAATCCTTCATGGCAGCAATCTCAGACAATTACACTGGGGTCCTAGCAGACAGATTAGAGGCTTGAGAAGTACCCCTGAGAATTGGGGTTTGAGCTGAAGTGTTGGCACAATACACCACATACACTAACCTCAGGCATACCCTCAACATCTCTCACCTCCTTTTCCCATTCTCTCTGTCATACACACACAAACACAGCTACACACAATGTCATAAATATTTACAAAGGAATAATGGAGATTAATTCACATACAATTAATCCATTAATTACCCTGTGCTCTATACCGAGCAGATAACAGCGATCCTTAAACAGTGTGTTAAACACAAATGTGTGCGTTATGTCTGTTTAGCTCCTGTAAGACATGAGATTTTTTTTTTTTTTGACACAAATTAACTGAAAAATTCAAAGCTGAAAAATGGGTGTTAAAATGTTTCTTCTAATTTCTAATTGCAGTGTGAGTGGGAAGGGTAGCATCAAGACAGAATTTAATGAACAGGAACGGGCTTTTCTGAATTTAAACTTAAACTCATATTTCTTCACACTAAAAGCAGCTTAAAAACAAACAAATAGCAATTTATTAATTCCGTTTGGTTGATTACATGCACAACTGATCACTTAAGGATTCAACAAACTTGCAAAATGCAGCAATCAAAAGATTTCAGTACACTTGTGTCCTTTAAATCCTTGAGTCCTAAGGGAATATCTAAAAATAAATTGTGTGAGAACATTACTACACCCTGTTAAATGTAATCACATTTGTTGAGCTACACAGCTGTGCATCCCAGGCCGAAACCCAATTACAACCACTGCCAAATCCAGAACCCAGGCATGCTCATCTCCCTCCAGCACGTCCTGAACTCCACCGCTGATCCAGAGTATCTGAAGGCAACCATCCTGCCCTGACATCACGCGCAGCATGCTTTCAGAGCAAGCCCCCTTGTTTCTGCCCGCATGAAAAACTCTCATCATTTCATAACAGAGCTTCCACAACGGCAGAACCTTCTGTGTGCAAGCTTTAAAACCTTGAATTTGGGGTTTTCCATGAATACAGGTGACTGAAACTATTTTAAAAATTAAGTAATTTTTTGTTATTTTCAATAAATGGAAAGGTGACAGGAGGTGGGTATTTTATGGGCAGATATTTTCTAAGAATTTTTATAATTTAAAATATTTATTTATTCGATATAATTTATATATATATATATATATATATATATATATATATATATATAGTACATTAGGAATATATATCTATATATAAAACATTGAGCAATAAATGTTAAATAAATGTTTTTTTTTAATACAAGGAAAATCACGTTAACAAGTTTGCGCACAAAAGGCAAAAATCACCAAAATTATAATAGCCTTTACAACAGAAAAACAATCTATTTGTGCTTTAAATGTTTTGTTTTTTTAAGTCTGGGGACACCAAAGGGCTCCATATTCATGGAAAGCGCCAGTTATTTTCATATTTTGCTCATCTAAAAGGGAGGCAATAATCCGTTGGAAAGAAATTCACTGAAATTCCCAAAAATTTCAGACGTCTTTAAATAGTTTTTAGGCAAATTGTTTTGTTCAACATATTAAATGGGTCTTAATGATTGTGGAAACTCTATTCTTGGCGATTCTTCAGCTTTACTGGGATGCAAATGTGGCTGTAGCTTATGTTCTTGTCTCACACAGCAAGCATTGCTGCTACTCCGCTCATGATCCTTCAATCACATCCAAGTTCACTCTGAAATGAGATTTTGTGTGCAGTTTATTTAATGAGCGCTAATGAGGATTGTTTTTTGCTCTCTCCTAAGCTGCAGGATTTCCCAAAGTGGAAAGCACCACACACTACTCACTCTCTCAGCCTGTGTGATCAATCTGCACCGCTGAAATAAGAAGACAGGTACAGAATCTGTCAATCAGCCAGGGGGCACAGGACAGGATGGATCCATGGAACACGCACCCTTCTGACAAATGCCCCATCATGAGAGAAGAATGACCACTTATATGTAGCGCATGGATGTTTATGACTGGCCCAATGGTCAGGAAAGGGTAACAACCTCTCAATTGTCTAAAACTTGTCGGATTTGAAGGCTACGATACATGCAACACATGTTAAAACAACACCACAAGTCCACAACACTGACGTGCATTGTTAGTACTGACGTGGAGAGTGTTGGCATCATGAGGAATGGGACGAAAAGGAGGAAAATGCCACTTAAACAGAGCCTTACCTGGGTCAGTTCAGGAATATCGTTTTTGTCAATTCCCACTTGCTGTTGGACAAAAAGAGATTATATGTCATAACCTATGAACCACTAATGCAAGTTTCACTAAACATTTTATAATTACAAAAAATACATGGTTTACCTCAGCAATTTTGAGAAACTCTGAGACTCTGGTCATTCGTGTCAAGAATCTTTTATAGATTTCCAATGCTTCTTTGCATTGTCCTTTCTTCATCTGGAAAAATTTCTCTAAAAATGACCAAGGAAATCATATTAAGTCATATAGATGTGTCAAATCTTGCAGACAATATCACTAAACTTTAAAAACAAAGACTTGCCTAAAAGATTAATGATGCCATCATTGTAGCAGGCATACAACTTGATCAGATCCTTGAAGAGCAACAGGAAGGTGGCATTGATCACCCCGTTTACAAGATCTTTTGGATGAACCTGAAACAATAAAGCAAGAGAAATGACAGTATGTCACAGATTTGTATCTTGCAAAAGTTTTTCCTAACTAGGCGTGATGCTAGTCAAGTTTGAACCCTGTGTAACAGCATCAGGTGTTAATACAGCCTGTGATGATGACAGTAAGCAGACTCACTTCAAACTCCAGCAGAGCATCGATCTGACCCTGCAGAGTGGGCATGCCTTTCAAGAGCTTGTCTGGAGACATTGTTCTCATCACACCATCAGCACTGAGAAACACACACACATTCACATGGATTTGGTAGTAAAGAACATGTCATTTGTAACTGAACATAATCCAGAATCAGGTATAACACTAATTCTTGGGTTAAATGTTAAGATCAGCCCCACCCTTACTGGAATTTTTGTAGGCCATGGAACATAGGCACATTGGTGTACATGCTTTGGGACTGTCCAGATGTACGAGATTTGTGGGACAAAATGCTAGATGTTTTGTACAATGTCACTAGAATACTTTTTCCCAAGCATCCTGTCCTTTTATTGTTGAATGATAACTTTCAACTTCCTCTGAGTGAGACTGGAAATTTTGGCTAGCTGCCATGAATGTTACAAAGAAGATATTAGTTCAACATTGGAATTTTTCAGATACGTTTTTGTAATGTTTTTTGTATGCTTTCTTGAAAACGAAAAAAAAAACAAAAAAAACATGGATAGTTGACATGAAATACATTTGTAAATTTGACATCTCATGGAATGAATCTGTAAAAATGTATTTGTCATACCATATGAAAATGAGGTAGTGATTACATTTTTTAGAAATGGTGACTACAGCGCAATTAGGGTATAGATTTTACCCTAAAATAAAAGTTTGATGAAAAAGTCATGAATAGGTATAGTTATATAATAAGTCTAATATAATAATATAGAAAAGTCAAATGGTCTAATAGATATGTTCATTTTCAGGGAACATTAATACAAATTTCTTAGAGAGTTCATTAAAAATGCAATTTTAGTCTCTAATAATCAGATGTGTGCTGCCAATGTGTTTGTAGCTTCTTCATTGTGTCGTGTGACGTGTCTGCAATGAGACCTTGATCACATACAGTAACATACACAAACACACACACACACACACAATATTTCCAAGAGAACAATGAACTTTGTGAATAACCGCAATAACTACTTTTCTACAGAAGCATCACAAAGCTCTTTTCTGGGTCTCGAGGTTGTCCTTGATTTCACAACATCCCACTCAAATCTGTTACTGCGCAGTAGTGTTCCAATGTCAACTGAGTGTACAGCAATGTAGCAGAAGATTTATTTACCCTTTCTTCACTCTGCCAAAGTCGAAAGCCATCTGTCTGTATGCAAACGCCTTCTCGTTCAGATACCTGCTGTAACGTCTTATAAACGTTGACATGTCATAACCTGAAAGTACAAGCCTTTATAAATACAATGGGCTGATCATTTTTATTTCATAGGCAAATTCAAATGTATGCAGTGGGCATGACAGCAATGTTGATTAAATAAGAACTGTCAAAATGTGTTAGTTTAAGAGTACTGCAATTAATTATAGCTCACATAACTTTTTATAGTGATTTAATATCACACAAGAAGATTTTGACTGGCAGCTGCTGTCACTGCATGAAATATTACTTACCATGAGAGCCAGTTTTGTCCAAAAAATTGCTAAGATTGAATAGGGTGTTCCTGGAGGCCAGGTACTGGATGAACCTCTGGAGAAAAAGAAAAAGAAAAAATGCAATCATGTGCATTGATTATTATAATTTCTTTAGCACACGTGGAATTATAATTCAGATATAAGACTGCTTTTCGGAACACAGAAGATTACAATTTCAATAAAAAAGGTCCAATTGACAGAGATACAGAGAGATGCATAAGAAATGCAGAACTGCGTTTCAGTGAAGAAACAGAATTCAATGCTACCAAACCGATATAATCATCACATGATTAATCACTCAGAACTCACATTTAAGCTTCGAGTGGGAGCGAATGGAAAAATGGAAATAATAGCAGAGGCTTTATCAAGAAAGAACAGCACACTCGCTGCATATGAGCAGGGTATACAGCCTTCACTTACAAACAAATTTATGCAGCTTGACACATTTAATGAAAAACAGTAGGCAAACAAGGCCATGGAAAACAGTAATGAGCCACAAATATGAAATGAAATGGAAAATATTCACTAATCAAAATCATTAGAAAAAGATACTGTATGGTTCCATGCACAGTATGAATACTTAACTGGAAATAAATGTTTTTTTTTTGTCTTGTTTTCTAGCAACAATAAGTAAAAAATATGATTATTACTAAAACATATCTTGAATTAAGTTTATGACTTTTAAGTTTATGAAAAAAACCCTATTTGCCCAAAAGGTAAGAAACATATGCTTAGTTTAAGATATATATCTTCTCTACAGAAAAGCCTTAATATTTATCAATCTCAATTAGATATTTTTACTAGAAAACAAGACAAAAACACTGATGAAAGAAACTGATTTATTCCATGTTGGGTTCATGAATTCTAGTATACTATGAAGGTAAAGGTATTTTTTATTTTTATTTATGGATGACCTTTTCAAAGTGAGTTTTGGAGGGTTCAAATATTAAGATTTTAACTAAAACACAAATCAAACCTATCCCAGCAATCCATCATCTCTGTGGGCTGTGCCTTTTCAGTTCTGCCAGTCAGAGTTTAACTGAAGTGTCAGCTGATCAATACAGAACTTTTGGGGAGATCAAGCTATATGGCCCTGTCCCAAATGGCACCCTAAACACTTGCGGTCTTCCTACGTTTCCGCACTTTCATGACGTAAAGTCGCTTTGACAGGTCCACAAGACCGTAAGTGCATATGAAGTGAGCCATTTGGGACAGGGCCATAAAGTACCTAGCAATTTTAATCAGTTAGGTCCGATTACTAACCAGTTCAAATATCCATGTGTCAAGGTAAATACTTCCCTTGTATATGTGACCTGTAGAAGCACATAGCCTGATGTATTAGAACACATACCCTGTTTCATTTTTTCTTCCAGAGTGTGACTATGCTCTCTGACTATCCAGCTGCACCCCTATCTCTCCTTGAGTTGATACCCACAATAACAAATGAAACATTAGGGGGAGGATTATGAAGCAGTATCTGTCCCCTCAGACAAAGCAGTCTGGCAGCTCACATTCATAATTGAATAGCTCTCTTTAATTAAAATAATGGAAAGTGAGCTCATCTACTATATATTATTGTTATGGCATACAATATTTTTCCTCATTGCTTATTCAGCAGAATGAAAGGCAATGCTTGTAGAAGTAATCAACACTCTGCATAACTGCACTAAAATTAAACTGAGAGGGGTTATAGCACTTGCGTATTGTTGTCCTACTGTTAGTTTAACTGCTTCTATTGTTTCTCATTTGTAAGTCGCTTTGGATAAAAGCGTCTGCTAAATGAATAAATGTAAATGTAAATGACATTACATAATAACATGCACATGAGAAGACCATCACTTTTAACCCAAGATGATTTTTTTTACCTCTCTTATTTAAAACGAAAGTGTTACTACAAGACGAACAAAAAACTGTTCAAAAGTTTGGGGTCAGTAAGATTATTTTTTTTTAAAGCAATTAATACATTTATTCGGAAAGGATCAAAAGTGATAGTAAAGACTTTTACATGGTTACAAAAGATTTCTATTTCAAATAAATGTAGTTCTTTTGAATTATCCATTTATCAAAAATCTTGCAAAAAGCATATTAGAATGATTCCTGAAGTATCATTACACTGAAGACTGGAGTAATGACTGCTGAAAATTCAGCATTGCCATTAAAGACATAAATTACATTTTAAAATATATTCAAATAGAAAACATTTTTTTATGACTGTTTTTACTATATTTTTGATAAAAATAAATGCTGCCTTGGTGAGCATAAGAGGAATCTTTAAAAAAAAAAAAAAAAAAAAAAACTTAAAATATTAAAATATCTTACTGACCTTAAACTTTTTGACAGTGGGTCTCATTCACTATTATTGCATACATTATTCGTATTTATAAGCACATTTGAACTTCTCACAAAACCTTTTCGCCCAATTCACAACACGTGCATGCGCACATTAATTGTTCTAAACCTTGTTCTAATGTTGATGAATTCCAAGTATTGTAAATGAGCGACCCTGTGCCCGAGATTAGTCATTTACATAATACACGCCCAAACCAGCTCCATATAAGAGTTTTTCGCCTATCCAGAGAATCTTATAGAGAAGTATGTCACTGGAGCAAAAGAGCAAAAAAAAAAGAAAAGAACAAAGACCTCAACGGATAATGAACAGGATGTTTTGCTGTTGGAGGTGGAAGCCAGGAAAGGTGTGCTGTTCAAAAGTGTGTCCACAGGGATGTGGTAACGAAAACCGTTAATGTGGTTTCACCAGAGATTTGGACAGTTGCAGAAGTAAAAAAAAAAAAGCGGTTTGATATAAAGTTTGATGCAAAAAGAATTGTGGGCTATGGCCCTCGTGTGTGTGTGTGTGTGTGTGTGTGTGTGTGTGTGTGTGTGTGTGTGTGTGTGTGTGTGTGTGTGTGTGTGTGTGTGTGTGTGTGTGTGTGTGTGTGTGTGTGTGTGTGTGTGTGTAAATTTGTCCGGTTCTTTTCCCCCCATGTTAATAAGGCCACCGAATTTATAGACACAGTTATGAGACACAGTGTATATAAATATATGAGATTGCTTAATTATTTGCGCAATAATTAATATTCACTAGTAGCTACGCCTTTGCCATTCCATGACGTCACAACATGTCCATATGCACACCTCCATAACTGTCCCGCCACTTTTTATAATATAGTGAGTTAGTGACACCTATTCATATGTCGCCAGCATATATGTGGCTTCATATTTATTCAATTATCCTTTGTAGCTGTACTTCTCTGAATTTCTATCAGTTCCTCTCAAGCTCTAAGGCCCTCCACCCTCCTTCCATTATCATTCATTCTTCTTTCTCTTTATCTCATTCTGCTTTCCACCGCCATCTGCCTTTTCACTCTCTGATGTCTCTTTCACAGCGCAAGCCTCGAATGAAAGAGTAAACTGCTCTTTCAGAAAGAGAGTGAGAGAGAGGGCCAGAGCATCTGCCCGCCTGTCTGTCTCTGCTCCTATTGTGAGCCTGATGGGTGTGATAATGGTGATAAGTGGAAGCAGGAGGACTTTGAGTGCAATAGGTGGTCAGCTGTGGGAATGAGCTCCTCAGAAAATTGTTAAAATTCAAGGTTTTACTGTTTATGTAGGTTCAATATAATGCAGACCCTGCATTGAGATCTCTCAACAATGCAAGTAGTCAGTACTGCAGTAATCAGATGCTTGCTTCTCACCTCATTGCCATGGACCATCAGGTGGTGAGTGGTGACCAAAGCCTTGAAGACCACAATCCAGCTAGCATTCCCTGCTCTCTCAAACAGCGTATCAGCCATCTGGGGAACATTAACATTGGACTCCTGGGTTGCCTGGATCAAGTCTGTGAGGGAATATGAAATGCAAATAAAAGACTTGGCTTGAACTCATAACAGCTCCTGAAGTGGGCACAACACAGATCAGGACATCAGGGTAAGAGTAACACACAATCTTGCTAGCATATCAAACAATCTCTCTTAAAAGACATTTAGGTTCAGAAGGCAAAATGTTGAGAGAGTTCACAAATCTCTTGAATCGATTGTAATTAGAATTCTCATTATAGCAATGGTTATGGACATATAGTATCCACAAAGAACAGCCTAAACTCAATAATGCAGATATGAAAGGGAAAAGAACAGGTGATTAATATTACAGCGCTGTCATAACTTTGAATAATGCAGTGTGATGGGAACTCTGTGGTGCACCAGTGCATGACAAAACGGCTCTTGTCATTCAGCGTGACATCTGACAATGCAGCAAAATATACTAAAAGAAAGCAATAAAGAGACATGAGAGAGAGGTAGAACGTGAAAAAGAATACATAGATAAACAGACAAAAAGACAGATGATAGTTAGATAGTAAGATTGACAGACGGACAGAGAGTTGGAGAAGTAAGATGGACAGAAGAACAGAAAGATAAGCTATTAGATAGTTAGACAAATATACAGACAGACAGACAGAGAGTTGGATTGGTAGGCTGATAGACAGACAGACAGACAAATAGTTAGAGAGATACATGCAGATAGTTGAACATATAGGGCTGGCATTGATACTGAATTAGTGCTTGTATGATGTGTTATTTTGTTACAGTGCCTTCAGATCCTGCGAAGTGTATGCGGATACTGTATGAACGAGATAGTTATAAATATCCGGATACGTTACGGCTGGCAATAAGGACGGATCTTTACTTAAGGCTATTGGGTCTATTTGATATGGGTCCACTCCACACCAATCAATCTTCTCTTCATACCGACGAGACGAAGCCATTAGGTTAACGTTACTGCTCCCCTCAACTCAAATCTGCGCGCGGCTAGTTAGGGGCAGGACAGTTGTCATGTCAACAATATGGCCGCGGTTAGCTACTTCCGGTGTTTGCGAATAAGGTCTATAGGGTGGAAATACACCAGGCTATGGGATGCAGTCACCTTGACTGAAAGAGGAAGGGTACACACACATTCATGTACAGTACAAGATGACCACAGATTAGATTACATAAGTTACATAACCACAGAGTCCACACAATAATAGCCCTCCCTCTAAAAGGCTTAAAAGTCCTAGTTTGGCACCTTAAAGCATTTCACCAAAGCCTTATGGGATGAAATTGGAGGTTCAAACCTCCTTGATATGATTGAACCTCACCTGAACTAAATTTAAAAAAATTGTTATCATAATATTACATTAATACTTCAGGTCATTGTATTCATTTTTTGTAACGTTCACCAGAATCCTGAAACTATATATATATATATATATATATATATATTGTGGTTTCCACAAAAACATTAAGCAGCACAACTGGTTTCAACTTTGAAATTATTTGAAAGCACCCAATCAGGATATTGGAATGATTTCTGAAGAATCATGTGATACTGTATGGTTGCTGAAAATTAAGCTTTGCCATCAAAGGAATAAATTACTTTATAAAATATAATCAAATAGAAAACTTACATTTTTTTAAATGAAATATTACCTTTTTACTGTATTTTTGTTCAAATAAACCAGCATTGGTGGGCGTAACAAGAGACTTACATTTTTTAACATTTTAAAAGTCTTACCAAGCCCACACTTTTGAACGATAGTGTATAAGGGATGTGTTCCTTCACATCATTTTCAGTAGTGCTCAATGCCTCTGTTAGTATACAATAAACCAAATGGCTTCTTAAAGAGTTTGGTAATAAAGCAGGTTTGTACAGTCTCATAAACTTTGTAAGACATGAAGTTTGTCTCGTCTGAGTTGCAGGATCGATGCATGAGGCAGAACATCTACTGATGTACCGGGCATTTTTTGGTACTTATTGGGGCATTCACAGGGGATTATAAAGCAAGGCTGTGCTTAAAACAAACTATAAACACATATGAGTCATACTGTAATAAAAGTTTTGAGTTTTGTGCAGTAGGATTTCAGAGGACACAGTATCTCTGACTTAGCCTTCGCTTCCTAAATTATTTATGGAGAGTAATAAAAGGCTGTGAGTGGAGTTGTTCTCACTACACGGCAGGAATGCTTACCCAAAATCCAGAATAATCAAACAAATAAACACCCTGCTAAGACGAAGCGCTCTACACAATACACAAATGGTATCAGAGCACAGCAGTCAAACAGTAAACGCAGTGAGAGGCAGCTGCACTGCCAGCTCATTTAGCAGGCTAGAAAAATACCCTGCAGCCTCATGGCCTCTGCTGTGCTCCCCAACTATTGACCACCAACTTGACCCACAGGCCACTTTCCCTGTTCAATAACAGGACCAAATTACAGTATCGGTAGCCACACACATCCACGGGCCACACACACACTTTGGTTTTTCTATCCTGGCGCGACTTTTCATTGACTTCTATTGTTTTTTTTTATTATTGAGCTAACGGTATTTTCTATCCCCTACCCCTAAACCAGTGCTTCCTACGACCTTTGTAACTGATGTCAAAGTCGAAGTCAATATTCAAAGTCTATCCTACACAGGCTATGATTTTTGCTTTTGTACTTCTGCTAAAATTATAACAAAAAGACAAGCTTGTTTTTAAACAACCTTTGAATAACATCTTATTTATATTAAATTATTTATAAAATAATTATATTTATCTTAAGATTTTTTGTAATGCATAGTTCATTTTGAAAGAAACAATTGTTAAAAAATAATAATAATAATAAATGATATATATGTATTTTTTTTTCTTGATGCCATAAAAGATTCTTTGCAACTGCAACTCAGCCTTTACAGGAAACATGGACTTTTCTGCAAAGTGAGAAATACATTGCATATATTTTTAACTGATTATGCATGTTCATTTTTAATCATTTAAATGCATTAATTTATTTTAAATACCTTTAAAACATTATGTGGCCCCCTTTAAAGTTTAGTTCCTATAATGTAGGGCAAACCTGACCCCCACACACATATTAAACATTATTTATTCACTTGTACCAGAAACTTACAAAAAGGAAGCTGCTGAGAACAAGTAGTCAATAACTCTCAGTATACACATATCAAAACAGTATAGATTTTTTGTTTATTAATTTTTCACTGTTTTGTAAATTACAGATGAATAGTTCACATTTTAATCAGCCAACTCAGCACTTAAAGCAAATAAAATCCCACAATTCACACCCTATACATGCACTGAACAGCTTCAGTTGCGCATAAAGTGACCATTAGCGGCAGAGAAAGCCCTAGAACATGCACTTTACACATTCAATTAACCTTCTGAGGTGCCATTACAAAAGCATTTTCACCCAGACTGTAAATGCCATTGTGGAGTAATTGCATCATGCATTTATGCACGCTGAGATCGCTTCTACAAACAAGGCACAGTATTTCTGTATCATGCCATGTGTTAAAATGCACCGAACGGATTTCACTCCTCTAAAGACACGAGTAGGAGGGGAGACAGACATGCTTAAACCGCCTGTTTCCCTGGCAACTGCAGCACTTAGTCTGGTGTCAGGAAACCAGGTCTCCTTTGTTGAATATTAAGACACGGAAACATTTAATTAAGTAATGTACAATGTACATGGAGCGAGGCAAGAGGCAGTTAAAAAGCAGTTAACACTGAGTATCCTCCTAATAGAACAGCTAAAGAGTGTACAAGAAAATCCACTTGATCTAACAGCATGGGTACACAGACAGCTTCAAACAGCAGCTCTGATTCGGGTTGTGACTCAACACAATGTGACATTATGCGCAAAATACTCTTGAACTTAATGAAGACACTTTAGTTTGAAGGGCAGACCATTCAATGGGTGGTTGACATTTAATCATAAAAAGATCATAAACAAGATATTAATATTATACATTGTTTGGCGATAGAATTTTAAGAACCGTTCAATAAGTTCATTACCTATCAAAATGTGTTATCTGACTGTAAAATGTTTAATTTAAGGTTATTTTAAATAAAAACTAGCCTATTATTAATAGCAAGTAGCAAAATACAAGATTATAACATGAAAATGACCAATATATTGATACTAACACACCCACACACATATATTTTATTTAAATAAGGACAAGCTATTAAAATACACCTTAAACTTTTTTAATGCAAATTATATATATATGTAGATTAGGCCTATATATTATTGACAAAAAGATTTAGTCGTTTACATTACATTTATGTGGAAATTTTCACTTACCCCACCACAAAAGTAATACAAAAAATAATTAAAATACTTAATTGTTTTCATTGTGTTTGACCCATGCAACCTTAAAAAATAAGCTTATGACACCAAATTTTAGATAATTTCACAATTTCGATTCCAATTTTGATACCACAGCAAAAACTACTAGCCTATATAATGTAGCTAAATCTCAAATATCATTAAAGACAATTAAACAGCCAGTTATAAAATAAGAACAAATAACAGCAATAGCAAAAATAAATACAACAGAGCAAAGATTCAAATGATATAAAAAGTAGTTTTCAGGTACAGAAATTGAATGAAGTAATTCAATGTAAAATAACACTGCATAGTCTTCACTGTATAAATTAAATATATATTGATCCTTATTAAAGTTACAAAAGTTATTCAGTCAAGAACCATGAGTGATTTTTTTTCTTTGTCCTTTGTTGTTTGATTAACATTAACAGCACATTTCAGGTTTGTTAGTCTGCTGTCACTTTAAGACCTAATGCAATATTCTCTTTCACATGCGTTTTATTTCTGAACCGTTTACGTTCACTTAAGACATTAAGAGTACCAAATTAACTCTGGTGCGGTTCGAATGAAATATGAATGCAACACGGACCAAAGACATGTAAACGACATGCCACAAGATGCGACCCTAAAAAGGACAGAATGCTCAAGCATAACTGTTTTTTTCTCATCATAGTTGCAATGTTGCCCTATCAAA